TTCAGTGCAGCCAAAGCTGGAATCTTAACACAGGATATCAATAAATAACTAACCTGAACCACCCCCAGCCAGGGATGCATGCAGCTGACCACCCTCTATGGGAAGGTCAAGATGCTCTGTCCCAAGATGTGTCTGCCTGAGGGTTCCAGCCTGTAGCTGAAACTCACTGCTTCATGCACCCCATCCCTCCCACCCCTAGGGTGCAGGAGCTCTTGCAGTTAGGTATTCTATGACTGCAAACTTGCATCATTGAAAGAGTTGACGAGCATCAGTGAGAAAGAGAAGTCAGCAGTGACTTTCTGGCACCTGCTTCTCTTTCCTTCCGGGTTCCCGAGTACTTGCTGCTGGCTGCCGACTTGATTTATTCAGCATGACAAGGAAAATTAAATTACAGGAGCATCCAACCCTCTCTCCGCCCACTGCCCACAAGAGGAAGAACCCAGTGTCATTTCATAGTGGGTTGAATGGTGGCCACCCAAAAAAGATACATTCACATCCTGATCCCTTGGAACCTGTGAATATGACGCTACTTAGGAGAAGTGTCTTTGCAGATGTAATTAAGTTCAGGGTCTTGAAATGAGAACATCTTGGAATATCTGGGTGGGCCCTAAATCCAAGACAAAAGCTCCCATGAGACACACAGAGGAGATACACAAAGGGGAAGGCCATGTGAAGACAGAGACAGGTTGGAAGGATGCACCCACAAATCCAGGGATACTAACCGCCACCAGGAGCTGGAAGAGGCAAAGGACAAAGTCTCCCCTAGGGCTCTGGGGGGAGCACAGCCCTACCAACACCTTGACTTCGGACTTCTGGCCTCCACAGATGCGAGAGAATAAATCCCTCTTGTTTTAAGTCACCGAGTTTGTGGCAATTTGTTTTGGCAGCCCTGGAACACTAGTAGACATTTCTTCTTGCATTAATGGGGAAGGGGGACAAATTTAAAAAATATATTGGAGAAGCCAATAGGATTTAAGCAAGAAGTTGCCTTTATTGAGCACTTACCACGTGCCAGGTACCTGCTCCAGTTAGAAGGTGACAAAAATTTGAACCCAGCAAGATGAGCCCCAGAGCTTTCGCTTTTAACCAGCTACCTTGTACTTCTAGGATAGGGTAGAAGCTGTATTTGGAAAGGGACATGGGAAGGGAATGAGAAAAGTTAGGAAAATTTGGGGGAATTTGAGAGAGATTTGGGGGCCAGCTGCCATAGAGGCTGAGATATAAGTTCATAAGTTTTGTTTTACATTATAAACAGAACTTTTTTTTTTTTTGGTGTTCCTTGAGAAATTTGGCAAAGATTTAAATTGCTCTCCAGTTAAATTTTTTTTTTTTCTAATTTTGGCACAAGACTGTGCTGAGACTTGCACATATGGTACCTGTGTTTTATACGGGTTTCATTTCCACCCAGTTGCCGTTCATTCATTGAGCTCCATTTGGCTTATGTGCCCCCATCTGTGCTCAGTGCTGGGCAGACCTGCAGAGGAGTGAGAACCACACCCTGCCCTGGGGGGCTCAGCTTGTCCTGGTCCAGCAGACAAAGATCCTTGAGTTTGGACATTGTTCTGTGAGCAGTGGGGGTTTGTCTGCAGGGGGGAGACAAAGCTGAGAGAGAGCAAGAACTGGTTCTGTGTTCCCTAGGCTGCTGAGCCTTCTGGATCTCTGAACCCCCAGCCCCAAACTTTGCTGGGCTGTTGGCTAAGGGGATAAACTGATCTTTATTATCTACTGAGGATTAAAAAGCTACCTCATTCAGACAGCTCAATTGGATTAAAAAATATTTTCTTAAAAAAAAAAAATGTTTTCTGGGGCCCTGGGTGGCTTAGTTGGTTAAGCATCTGCCTTGGACTCAGGTCATGATCACAGGGTCCTTGTGATCGAGCCCCGAATTATGCTCTCTGCTCAGGGGGATGTCTGCTTCTCCCTCTGCCCCTCCACCCTACTTGTGCTTTCTCTCTCTCTCTCTCTCTCTAATAAATAAAATATTTAAAAAAAAATGTTTTCTTTAGGGCTTTTTTTTTGGCAGGGGAGTGGGTGTCAAGGGAATGGGAAGTGGTGTGTAGCATGGTTGATGGTGGCCCCTAGTGAACCCAGTTGTAGGGTTAGTCCTCGCTTTCAGAGAATATTTGCCTTGACACTATGGGCAAAACCAGATTCTATTCAGTTTTGAGACTATGGCGGGGGGGTCATCTCTGATGTGTTAGGGCAGCTCTATAGTTAGTGCAGCTGTCGGAAGGAACACACATTCCTTTGGTCAGAAATGACCTGTGAAGACCCTTGGAGGGACATTAAATTGGACGCAGCCATGTTTTTTCCATCAGTCCAGCAGAGCGAGGTTGTGGACAGTGTTGGGGAAGGTTGTCGTTTGTTCCATTGAGCGCCAGATGAAAACGCTGGCCAGCTTTTAGAGGCTATATTACATGAAAACAGTAGATATTTAAGCACTGGACTCATGCTGGGGGCCAAGAGGCACTCAGGAGCCGAGGCTTACCGAACGGGCCCCAGTTCCAAGCTGGGAAAAGAATGGCAGGTAAAAGCTGCCTGGTGCTTATGTTCATTTATCCTGTCTTTTCTCTCATTATTATGTTATTATTGTTATTTTTACTATTCTGCTGAGTGCCTGTAGTTGAATTTACATAACATAATTGCATACATTATAGGACTACACTCTAATGGAAATTTTTCTTGAAACCACTTGCTTTTCAGTATGAGAGTTACACCCTCCTGGCTGCTGAAACAGGGCTTTAGGGAAATCAGAGCATTTTCATCTCTGATCCTTTCTGAGAATAAAATTTGGCCAGCTGAGTTGTCCGTGTGGGTCTGCCGAGGGATTGTATCTTCTGGCCAAGTTGGGTCTTGTCCACAGTGATCTGGCAGCCAGTTTTCTGGATAAATCACAAAATTGTTCCTGACTTGGTGTATTTACTCAAAACTCATCTTCTATGGCTATGCATGCACAACAGTTGTGGATAGGTTTTGTATCTTACATTATTTTATATAATATAATCTAGTATTTCCCAGAGTGTGCTCTGGGGAACACCAGGGTGGAAGGATGTTCTGGAGAAAAATCATTTCCTGGACTGAACAGGATTTGGAGACCACCAGCTTTTGGATGTGCATTCACACATCCACTGAGATGAAAGTAAACACATCTGGGTAACTTGGTTTAATGCACCCTGGCCAAATTTGGTTGTCCATGGAATCATCTTCTTTGGTGCACTTTGGGAACCAGAAGCATAAGGAAGCCTTAGGAAGGTACCAGGGAGAGGCCATGTCCACGCCAGATTTCTCAGGCCCCAGGGCAAAGCTGAGCTGGAGGGTTGTGGAATGTTTTAAACTGGTCTGACCTGGACTGGCCTGATGAGTACTGGAAACTTGCCAGAAAGCTGTAGGCTCTGCCATGATGCTACTAAGGGCAGGGAAAGGGAGATTTGTAAGAATGTGGCTGGTTTCTGCCTTTGGAGGAAAATTAAACCCTTTCATGTTTGTACCCACTGGGCTCAATAAGCCCGCCACAGAGACCATCAGGCACATCTATTTAGAGATTTCTGTAGTGGGTCGAATAGCGTTTCTCCCAAATCCATGTCTACTTGGAGTCTCGGCATGTGACTTTATTAGGAAGTAGGGTCTTTGCAGGGGTAAGTAAGGTAAGGATTAAGGTAATCATGCTGGATTAGGGCGGGCCCTGAATCCAATGACAAAGCTTTCTTAGATGGAAAAGGACACACAGGGAGAGGCCATGTGAACACAGGCAGAGACTGGAGCGAAGTAGCGCCAAGCCAAGGAACACTTGGTGTCACCAGAGCTGGAAGAGGCAAGGAAGGGTCCTCCCCCAGAGGGAGGGAGAGTAGCCCTGCTGACACCTTCATTTCAGGCTTCCGGGCTCCAGATCTGGGCGAGGACACATTTGTTCAGCCACCAGTGTGCGTCGACCCTGATGCTAGTGTCACGGTCGCATGGGACGGGATTCCCCACATGGGCCGAAGCTGTAAATCATGCACATCCCTGTCGATGAAGGTATAAAGGGCGCACGTGAATTTGCGAGGCGCTAATTCTTATAACCAGCGGTGGGCAGTTAGTAGCAGGCAGCGTGCCAACGTCGAGGGCTCAGACGCAGCCTGGAGAGGGAGAGAGATTGCGGAGAGAGGGGCGGTTTGGGGGACACTGGGGGATGACAGGGTACAGGGAGGGCAGAAAAGCCCTTACCCGAGAGAGGTGAGTCACCTAGAAAAGATATGAAGTCGGGGAGCCTTGTCTTGGCAGACCTGAGAAGGAGCTGCTCCACGAAGAGACAGCAGCAAGGAGGAATGCGGGGAGGGAGCCCCCAGGCCACGTTTGCTGCCACTTGCCAGGTCCCCTCTGCCCAGGGACGGCCTTGACATTCCAGTGGGCTCCTGGTCACTTCTCATATTGTCCTCTAATTTTCCCAGAAAGGCTTTAGCTGTGTGACCTTCAACTACCAGCACCACCTCTCTCTGCCTATTTTCTGACCAACAGGACAGGGGGGTAATAATATTTGCCTCGTAGAACGTCAAAGGCACTACCTGACGTAAGGCAGGCCTGGCTCCTGGCATGTAGCAAACGCTTGCTCTGTTAGATACCAGTACTGTTGCTGCCACCGTGTTTAGGACCGCGTTCCTACCTATAGCTTGCACAGACTGAGCGCTTACTGTGTGCCGTGATCTTCATTCTCGCGACAACCTCAGGAGAAAGCATTCGTCAGTATTACCATTTTACCGAGGAAGAAACAGAGACAGGGGGGAAGACAGGAGCCTTTACCCAGAATCACACGGATGGCAAAGCCAGGTTTCAAGTTCGAGGACCTGACCCCATCCAGTCCCGGCTCAGATTCATCATGGCTGTATCTGATAGTGCACAGGATGATCCTTGTTGCTCAGCAGGTGAAATTTGTACTCCTAATACGTATGTATCTACTTGGCTGTCTAGTAGAGAAATAGAGGTTTCCTACTTACAGTCATTTCCTTTTAAAATTAACTTACTAAGTCCTCACTTTGGCAGGACATATATGAAAACTGGAACGCTGCAGAGATGAGCGTGGCCCCTGCCTGAGGATTAACACCCAAATTTGTGCAGCTTTCCAGATTTCCACCTGTTATGTCACTCACATCTCAAAAGAATAAATAAATAAAATACACTTATTTATCAGCCCTATTCACAATAGCCAAAACATAGAAACAGCTCAAATGCCCATCGAACAGATGAATGGAGAAACAAAACGTGGACTATCCATACAATGGACTATTACTCATCCATAAAAAGCAACAAAGTATTGATACGCGCTCCAACACGGATGAACCTAGGAAATACCATGCTGAGTGAAAGGAACCAATCTCAAAAGGCCACACACTGTATAATTCCATTTATGGGAAATGTCCAGAAGAGGCAGACCCGTAAAGACAGAGAGTAGATTAGTGCTTGTCAGGGACTGGGGGAGCTGGGAATGGGGCCCACCTGCTTCGTGGGTGTGGGGTTTTATTTTGGGGGGGATGAAAGTGTTTGGGGACCAGATAGGGGTAGTGGCTTTTACAACACTGCAGAGGTACTAAATACCCCTGAATTGTTCCCCTCGAAGTGGTTTCTTTTATGTTCTGTCATTTTTATGTGAATAATTAAAAAATTAAATTTAGAGAAGGAAATTAGTTTACTTAAAAAAATTAATTTACTTAAAGAAGACTGTGAAGTACATCATAGCACAGGGGGTGTGCAGATGTGGGGAGAATCATGCAGGCGGTACTTGGAAATGATGGCGCTGTATTATGCCATTAAGAGCTCAAGGCATCTCCTTAAGGGCCGAGTCTGGCAGAGTCTGCATCTTGCCCTCCTTTGTTTTTTTTTCGCCTGCAGCCAGCTCAGTGCTTAAGAAATACTTGTTGAGTTCAGCTCAGCCCGGCTCAGCCCGGCTTAGTTAATTGAGTTAAGGCGAGCTGAGTAGTACTGAATGCACCAGCTGGCTGGCCTGGAGGAGATCCAAGTTGAAGATGTTACGAATCACACTAATTCAATAAGCTGCTGCAAGGTAGTCTAAGTAATGAGACCGCGTGCCTTTCCGTACCTGACTTACCCATGTTCTGCTCGCACCTGATGCGCCGTGCCCACTCCATGATGTCATAGTTGTCTTCCTGGAATCCCCTGGGTGTGTTTGCTGAAGACACCTGGCAGTGTGGGAGAAAAGGAAAAACACAGTGCTCCTCAGACGCGGCTGGAGGCACATGGGTGGTGGAAGGAAGGGCCCAAATGAAGAAAGCAGAGAACTTTCTGTCTGTCTGTCCGTCTCTGTGTGGGTGCAGTGACAATGTACATCTTCCTTGTCCAAAGCAGTGATCACGCGCCTAGTATAGCAATATAAGAGCTCATGCACTTGACTCTGATTGCCTGAGTTTGAAGCCAGCTGAGGATCTTCAAGAAACTAATTCATCTCTCTGTACCTCTGTCTCCTCACCTGTAAAATGAGGGTGATCATAGTACCTACTGTCACAGGGTTATGGGAGGATTTAATGAAATGATACCTGGCAAGCACTTAGCACACAGTTCTGGGAACAACATACACGCTCTGAAAGCTTAGTTGTGATGATTAGCAGTGGCCAGCACTGCAGAAAGGTGTGTTTGAAATACATGGCCGGGCCGGTGTGCAGAGACCAGCTCTGCAGACATGAGAGCACAGAGCAGAACAGTTAGTTGTTTGTAAACATCCTAACCAGAAGCACATGGCTTACTCATGTAGGTTCTTCTGGAACGGTGAGGTAAGCTCCCAGAATGAGGAGGGAGTAGCAGGAATCTGGTTGTGGTTCTCCCTTCTGGCAGGATCTACCTACAAAGTGTCCCCAGCGGCTGCCCGCACCCAGAGACTAGAAAAAAAGCTGCAAAAAGCTTCACTCTTTTTGCTCCGCTCTGGGAAACTGCTCTGTTAGTGTTAAGATCTGCATCCTTGGCTAATAAATCAGTCCTGTACGGCAGGGGTGCGTGTGGTGGTCTCCGCTCCTGGATCTCTAACCCACCTGCAGGGCTGCGTGCAGCTGGAAAGGGCAGGAGGTGGGCATCCAGAGGTGTGATTTCTCAGATTCACTGTGCACTGCGCTGCTGCATGGTCTTGGTCAAGCTCCTGCCTCTTTCTGAGCTATTGTTCCTCATTTATGAATGAGTGAGAGGGCAAGGGTTGCAGAAAAATCACTGATTTCAAGCCTTTAAAAGTATGAGGAGCTATTTCTTTAAATGAAAGCATCCAAGGGAACTGAATGTACCAACAAACACAAGAATTGCTGCATTGTTGAAAGAGAGGCCAAGGGAGGGGTCCTATAGGCACAGCCTCTGAGTTCTGGCACCCATTCTCCTTGCGCTCCTCTGCTGTCTTCCTCCCTCCCCCAGCACATTCTGAAACCTGCCGACTAGAAGGAATTCGTGTGACAAGATTAGGCTAGAGCATTAGGGGGTCCCCGAGGTGGTCTCCAGCAGCATGGAGAAGGTAGAGGGCAGATCTGCATGCAGGTCTGCCTGCCCCTTACTGCCAGTGTGACATGGGAGTACAGGACATCAGGTCTTTCTGCCCACCCAGCATTCATTCCTCCTTCTGGTAAGAGCACCTCAGTATTCTTGGGGGACCCACTCTTACTCCTTGCTTGTGGTTTGGCTATGCTTTGGCAGTGAGCACATGACTGGGGCCTGGGCAATCAGATTATTCTGTACCCCTTGCCATAGTCATTGGTTTAGCAATGGGCAGCTGAACCGAACCTGTCAGACCCCCGCCCCCCTAGACATAACCCTGGGACTTTTACAGGAGCAACCAGGAGAAAGCTGGGATTTGACTCCAGGAAGATGTAAAACAGGTGGAGAGAGCCAATCTAAAAATGAAACCCACACAGGGAAGAGCAGAGCCAAAGAGATGAAGAGAGGCAAATTCCTAAAGACTTAATTGAGGGCCTAGATCCAGCCGTGCCTGAAGCTAATACAGCTCTTGCTTCTCAGTTAAATAATCCAATATATTTTTGATCTGGCTGAAGTCCATTTAAGATAGGAGCTTGTCACTTTGCAACTGAAACCTCCTGACCAATACACACAGGCAAGTTATTTATCCCGGTAAGTTTTAGTGTTCTCATCTACTAAGTGTCTCTAAAAAGCTCTAAACCTCACCTTTAAGCGGATCTATAAACACATATATCACACAGCAGGACATGAGCAATAGTGGGCAGTCTTGAATATGTCTTAGTTCTAAGAAAAGCAAAGCAAGTCCACTTTATTCTCTCAATGAGGCTGGGGGAGCAAGAGACAAATAAATGTCCATTACAAATAGGAATGGAGAAAACAGGGGAAGGCCACAAATTAACCAGAAAATGCCATGGGGAATGCATGAGGCCCTGATTTTGGATTTTTCAGTTAGATGGGAGTGGTCGGCAGAGGGCTAAGATTCCCGAAGTTCTGGAAGCAGGGCTGAGCCTGAGGGAAACCCCTAGTCACATAAGCCCCCAGGCTCTTGAGGCTAAGGAAAATCTCGGGGAACCGTTGCGATGAATTTGTCTTAGCGCGGAAGGGTCAGAGGACTGAGCTCTGCTGCTGTGGGTGCGCTCCTGACAGTCCATTGCAGTTCACAGCCAACTTTGTGCACGTGGCCAAATATTCCCTGGACAGACAGACCGGCCCTTTGTGGCTCAGGAGAGCTGTTCCTGGGGAATGCCACCTCAGAACACCCTTGTGGTCTGCTCAAGAACCCTTGAAATTGAAAGCCCCGAGCTCCCCTTGTCACAGCCGTGGCACATAAATACCACCGGGGGGGATTTCCCACGGAATTTTTTGCAGCCACTCAAATGTTTCATTTCCCATTGTTTGCCAGCCCCTCTTGGAGCCTCAACTGTCAAAGCAGCAGCAGACCCAGGCTGCTTTTCCCCCAGGATCCCCTCGTGCTTGCTTTTGCTTCCCCTCCATGTTGGGAAGCTGGCATTGGTCGGATATTGTGGGCTCGGCCAGGGAATAAGGTCTGTTAGTCAACTAGTGAAGCAAGTCAGCAGAGGGAATACCCGGCCCTCCCCAGCCCACCCTGCAAGGGAGGCAGAGCTCTGTGCCATCCCCCGGGGTATTGTTATAATCAGGGCGACTAATAATCATATTTATAGAAAGACGTCCCTTCCACAAATCCAAAGCACTTGACCAAAATATATGACACAGCTGTTAATTTTTCACTTTTTAAATATGAGCCCGAAACGTTTTTTCCCCCTGACTCAGCGTGTTTCAATGGAATTCTGAGTTGTAGTCCATACATCAGTGTGTAGAAAAGATCATCTTTATTGACTGACCGCAAAGCATCTGTTTTAGGCAGGCACCTTGCTAGGCATTCTGGGGACTCGAATACGAATGAGTTGTAGCCGCCTGTCCGTAAGGAGCCCATCATTGAGGGAGGCATAGAGACTTCAAGGCAACATGGGATGCGAGGATGGTGGGGAGTTTGTTCAGGGGATTTGGGTCTGAGGGGAGCCGGAAGGATGCACATGTGCTCAGTCACCAGTTGCCACTGTCTGAATATATGTAGTAGGCATCACCCTGGGCACCCAAACAAGGCCGGGCATGTGTGGAATAGCCTGATTCCGTGAGATCAGGAATGGTGAGGATGCCTGTAAACATCCCTTCACCAGGGCCCGCCCCCTTCACAACAGAGGTTGCCCCTGTGATGAATTCATTTAAGTAGCCATTCGTCCATCCATCCATCCATCCATCCATCCATCCATCCATCCATCCATTAAAGCCACAAATATGAATGGATTTCTTTAGGATGTGCCAAATCAGACTAGTCTGAGGACAGCCATTAAGTGAATACATAAGATAATAAAGAAATATACGATACAGGAACAATCGAATACACCTATGAGAATCTGCCTGCCCCCCATTACTGATCTCCTACTTTATGCCAAATGCTGCACAGGCTACAAATGTGGGTCAACACTTTGTGCAGCAAAACCCTGAAGACCAACTGGAACTCCCTATGCAAAGAGGTGACAAGGGCATGCTCCAGTTTGCATGGGACTGCCTACACCTATGGACACTCTGGGATCCTGCCAGCAAGACGCGGGCAGGCAGTTTAGGGGCTACTCTCTTCACTGTGCAA